ATCAATGCGATTTTTTAGCCGCTCAAAACTAATTTACTAAAATTTTATAATACTGTATAACTGCATACCCAAAAAATTTAAGAAAATTCTGGTTAAAAAGCTCCAAATTTAGATAAAAATGTGTGGAATTTTTCTAAATTCTGTAAAAAGTTTAAAAGTGTGATTTATATAGTTTTTGTCAAAGCATAAACCATATTTTTATATAAAAATATCAAAAAAAAAATTTGGCTTGAAAAACATTGTAAATATTAAAGACGAGACACCATTCATCCATTTTTGACCGCCACTGTATGTATGCATATGTATGTGTGTCTATGCGATGCTTGTAAACGGTTGAATGAAACACGCACATGATCCTGTTTTAAGTAAGTGGGGCGAAGCGGCGGGTGCGGTTAAAGCCCATTTTTACACAATTACATGGAAAAAGTGAATAACAAAACAGGAGAATCTATGCCCTAGTTAAAGTCACATAGTGGTGCATAAATATGTATGTATATAAAATTATTTTTCGTCTAATAGCATTAAGGATTTATATGGATATTTCTAAAATATAACGGTCAACTAAAAAGTTGCCATAAACCAACGATAAGTCCTAGCTACTTCAAACTTTGCATGCTCAAAAATTGTATAACAAATATCTTTTAGAATTCAAAAGCTCGAATTTTTGATGAAAGTTTGATGATTTTTTTTTTTAATATGGCACAAAGTTTGAAACCTGGATCTATACGGTTTTTGTTAAAGAATAAAATATATTAAAAAAAAAAAAAATACAATTCGATAATAAAAATATTAATAGTCAAAACTTGTCAATATGTGGGTGGCGTATAATTGTGATACGCACTGTACATAGACAAATCATAATAGAAAGACTTTCGATCGAGCAGTGCCTAAAGCTTAGGAGAAATTCAAACCAACTGCTTTAAAAAGTATTAAGCCAGTATGAAGTCATAGCGCTCTCGTAGACAAAGTAATCGCCGCTGTGAAAGCGACTACATATTTCCGTGATCCTGCTTACACATACACCAATATCTCGTGCAAAAAACTTGTCCATGCAACAACAAATATGCTTAAGCAGGATAAATAAACTGACATTGGTTGAATAAATATGTATGTATGTACATATTTGTATACATATTCACAAATAAGCGACACTTTAAAAAATAAAGGCTAATTCGCAAAGCTTAAAGCTTTTTATACAGTGCTGGCTACAAAAAAATACTTAAGTTTCTAAAAAATGTTTTCTTGCTCTAGGTATTTACAAACCAATTTTATTTTATTTACTTAAATTTAATATAAAGGCGCAGTCTTTTACAGTGCCATATTTCATAACAATTTCTTAATAACAAAATTTTGGTTATCTTATAGAATAAAT